TCACTTCGACCCCAATTTCGAGGGCCCAAAAATGGGCCACTTTGTGCATGGCTCTTTATTTATCTAAATATACTAAAGTGCTGTCAGCCTCCTGTGGTTTAGTGGTTATAGCGCTGGCCCTATGACCAAAGGGTCCCGAGCTCATTTCCCAGCCAGGTGACCTGAGTTTGATGGCTTCCGACAATGGTCACCTGGGGCTGGGGTAATAAGCGTGGGATTAACCATTAAGCTATTTGAAACTTGACAAAAAAAAATCCTAACCTGTCAAATTAATCTGGTTTCGATTTACTATATCAAGAGAGGAAACTTTCCGATGGGTCACAGCCCTCCCAGATGGGCCCAGCGGCCCAGGAACCCTAAGGGTGCATCAAAAAATGAAAGTTTAAATTGTCTATTAATTTTTTTTCTTTTGTTTATTAATTTTTTCAGTAGCAAATTAGGCTGAGAGGTATCAAAATTTAGCATACTTTTTTTTAATGATTTTATTTTATTTCAATTATTTTTTAGGTTATTCAAGAATTCCAGTTTATGAGGGAGACAGAAAGCAAGTGACCTCAATGCTCTACATTAAAGATTTGGCATTGGTTGATCCAGATGATTGCACTCCACTAAGAACTTTAACTCAGTTTTACCAAAATTCGTGCTATTTTGTTTTTGAAGATACTACCCTAGATGTCTTGCTCAAATCATTCAAAGAAGGTAATTCTTTTTTCCGATCCTTAGTAAAAAAATTATCAAGTTTGGTTCAAACCTAGTTGAACCATTATATTGTGACGTACGACTTCTTTTTAAAGAACTCATTGATTCTCAATCTTCCAAAATGAAAGTAGTCGTAAAAAAAAGTAGCAGTTCTGGTAAAAGTAGTGGTAGCCCCATTTGACACCCATTTTTTCAAGCCTGGACCTGTCGTCAGGAGAAGGAGCAATTCACGGAGATAGGTAATTACTTTTGAATCGTGCTCTTTGTACATCCATGAGATCTACTTTCTAAGTGCGCTCTGGCGTGGAATCTAACCGCCACAGTCCCCTATCCTCCCACAATCCATCAAGGAGTCGGCACTTCTTCATTTTTCCTATAGAAACCCCTGTCTCCACCCTTTAATCCTTAATTCCTTTCTCTGTCTTACCCAGTTGTGAGGTTAAATGTTGATATATCATTTAGCATTGGCAGCAGTAGCCATTGTATCACTTTATGGACAATGTAGGTAAGACTTGAGCGAGATGTTCTTCTGCTCGCCCAAAAAGCCTTATCCCAAACTGGTTTTTGCCAACAACAGACTGACCTTCAAAATCTCTTCAGGGTTGCGAGAGAACCTTTTCCTGAGTCTAAAAAACACTTACGATTTTTGAAATCAGATAATTGAGGCAGGAGGGAGTGGGCAACAAAGTTGAAGTGGTGTACCTTGTGAATGGTCCGTTGTTGAGAGATGATCTTGGTCTTCAAAAACGGTGATCATCAGCTTTAAGATAAATTTAACAAAATTCATCCATTTTGAAATTTTAATCCATTGTTGTGACTTCGCTGTAACGTAGATTTTCAATTTTTTAAATGAGCTGCGGCGTTGAAGGAAATCCTCAATAAAGGAAAAAACTGAATGTTCATGAAAGTGGACTATCCAAGCTCAATACAAACCCAAGTTCATTTCGAGGAAACCGTTTTGAGCAAAGTTATGATTTTTCATAGTCGACCTGATGTGTGGGGATCTAGTATTTTTGAACTTTTATGTCTTCCATACGCCCTAACCGACCTTAAGTTGCAAGTTTTTGTGTTTTTATATGTACTTGTCTAGACCATTATCAATGAGAATCAAACAAAAACAACCATAAATTCTAGGTGTGTGAATTTTACAGGCGAGCCTTAGATGATGCTTGCATCTTCAACTTTAAAAAATTATAACTTCAATCCAAATTGTTTCCCTGGAATCAACTTGGGCTTGATGGGACTCTCAGACGTCCACTTTCAAGAACAACTGTTTTTGTTTTTTTAGGTAAGATCCGTTAGGTGTTCAGCCAAGGCTTGAAGTCTTGAATATTCAAAATTGGGGGTATGACATAATTTGGCAACACTGGATGAAAAGTCATAACAGATCATGTTAATTCATTTGAACTGAAAATGTATGATGATCTTTAAATTTTGGGACCATAACACATAATTTCTCTATAGTGAGCCATTGAGGAGGTATGCCATTTTTTCAACTTTGAAACTTTGAACTCCCTATGTAATTATTGCATAATATACATTGGTCCTAATTTTGTTGTTGTTTTCAGATGATTTTCTATGAGAATGACCTACAGAATCAAAATAACTCAAAAGGTCGCGATTTGTGGTCGATTTGGTGGGAAGGGGGGAGGGGGCATGGATGATCCTAGAACTCAAAACATACCAGGTCCCTGCACACTGCATCAACTTTGGAAAATCATAACTCCACTTCAAATCGTTTTCTCAGGATGAACTTGAGGTTGTCTTAAATCTTGGATAATCTACTTTCATGAAAATTTTGTTTGATTATTTATCGTGCACTCAAAAAAAGGAAATGTCGAAGTAGCATTAACGGCCATGTTGAAATGACATCACAGAAATTATGTTGATATAGGCTGCACTCCCCGTAACCCAACATGGTTTGACTTAATTCTACATTTGCCGTCATGTTGAACCAACATGACCGAGAATGCTTCTACCTGTCATGTTGAATCAACATGACGGTGATATTCGAGTAACATTACGCATGTTAATTCAACAAAATTCATGTACATTTAGCATTATGTCAGACTGAAACTGTATTACACATGTTGTTTTAACATTCCTTTGGTTGAAAGAACATTAACACTTTGTTGAATTAGCATATGCAGTGTTATGTTACCATTTGCTTTCATATTGTTTCAGGAGTACCGTGGTGCTCTTGAAACATCATCTACGTACTGAAAAGGGGATGGCGTGTTCTCCTCCTCTCCCTCCTCCTCATCTCCCTCCTCCTCCTCATCCTCCCCCTCCTCCCTCCTCCTCATCTCCCTCCTCCCTCCCCCCTCCCACCTCCCACCTCCCCTCTCCCATCCCCATCCCCATCCCTCGTATTTTGCTCCTTGGGAGGCGCGGTTATAAGCTTTACGTATGTTAATCCCCTTCTCCTCCCCTCCTGACTTCTCGGGAGATTTCAAGAAGTCATGGGCCGATTCCATATAAGAATTTGAAAGTTTGCGGTCGCTGCTGGCTGTTGACCGTATGCCCAATCATTCATTGAGAGGGGATATTGAATTTCCATCGATGAGATTTTGAGCGTTCTGGAGCCACAGTCAAATATATACAGCACCGAACAGTTAACATAAGACATGTTGCAGAAGCTTCATGATTTCGTTTCATAAGCTAGACATTTAAGCCACCTGACTCGATAGTCTTGACACAGATTGTCTACTCACTGCGAGTAACGTTCAAATTAAAAAATAGCGTACCTATTTTTTATTCAGAGAATTGGTACTATTACTCTTTTCAAACCATTCGTTGGTACATTCTGAAAAAGTCTCTTAAGAAATACGTCCCAAAGTATTTACTTAAAAAAATTTCTGGATACCCAATTGATAAGGTAAAAACACAATTGAGACACTTTCGGAAACAAAATAAATCGACTCGAATAACGCTATTAACGCTCACCATGACAAAAAAATGGTAATATGGTAATAATACTTACACATGAAACAAAAAGAATTACTTTTAAGTTGATGATAGTTTATTATTCTTTTTTCAAAAACATTTTCGCTCAAGTGGTTAAGGCTCCTAAAATCCTACGTTTCTAAATACCTATTTGATTATATTTTTTATTTTCAATGTTTGATTTATTTATATTATTAATTATTATCATGATATAAAATAAGAATAAAAATGACAATCATAAACACTGAGGAAAGTAAACATCGTTGTTGGAGGAGAAAAAAATAGTTCGTGATAAATTGTTGATTTTTATATGGTGCATAATGTAAATTCCTTTTCGTAAATAGTGAATGGAAAAAAAGAAAAACCTAACAATCTGATGCGGTATGCATTTCACACAACTTAGACGGCAAAAAAATGAGAAAGTAATTCAGTGGGATATCGAAACACTTAAAATTCGTCAACCGGAACCACATGCCCGGGTGGCTTGATTGGTAGAACACTCCGAGGTAGGTCCCGCGTTCAAATCCCAAAAAAGTCGGAAAAATTTGATAGGTCGCATGGGATGATTCTGGGTTGAGAGTAATATCGGAAGTATAACTACATTAAAAAACGATACAATTTTCATATAAATAACGTAATTTATTTTAATTTGTAGCATTTGACGTACTCGTATATCAACATGATTGTCATGTTAAATCAACATGACAGCATGTTGAGTCAACGTGACGACTTCGTATGGCAACATGATAAGTCATGTTGATTTAACATGACGGCTATCATGTTTCTTCAACATTTTTGATTATGTTCCCGTAACATGCTGTAAGCTTGTACCCGTTTTTAAGACGCCCGTCATGCTGAACCAAGCTTGCTCAAGCTTAAAGTAACATTTTTTTTTGAGTGTGCAATTTCTTTAATGTCATAGCTCAAAACGTAAAAAATCGAAAATATTAGGCATGGCAACATGGCAACAATAAATTTATTTCAAAATTAACCAATCTACTTCATCTTAGCTAAAACTAATGGTCTGCTCTGAATTTTAAGGTTAAGATCGTCTCTCTACAAAAAACTGTTCACAAAATGTGCCGTTTTAAAGTTTTAATGTTGACCCCCCTCCCCCTTACAACACTCCAATTTCTAAAGTTGTGAATGTTAGAACTCAGGAAGTGATTTGCCATCAACCCAAGGCCGAGGTTAGCAACGATCGATTTTGGATCAGGTTTTTTGCCTCTCCTCTCTTTCTATTCATAGCTCTACATTTCATTTCAAACTTTTTTTTAGGTAACAAAGGTCATATGGCATTTGTTCAACGTGTAAATAATGAGGGTGAAGGTGATCCATTCTATGAAACCATCGGACTGGTGACTTTAGAAGATGTTATTGAAGAACTGATTCAAGCTGAAATCAACGATGAGACAGATGTCTATGGTAAGTCGAATTATCCCTATAATATTGTGATCTATTTCATCTTACTTGGTCTGCTTTGCGGATTGGTCTGATTCTCTCAAATAATGCCTCATAGAAATGCTCCCAAGTTTTTCAAGTTTCTAAATTCAATTTAACAAGACATACAAGTAAACAGAATGGGGTTAAGAACTGGCCCTGGCAAATCGGCCGGACCATCTGCGTGTGTGTCAGCAGGGCGAGATTCATATTCCATTTCACGGAACCTGAGACTTTTTATTTGGCATTAAAATCCAGATATGGCAACGCATCAGTCTCAGATGCAATGACAGGACTACTTGCTGGACACCCTCTATTATGCAGCAAAGAGAGGCCTACAACATGTTCATTGTCAGGGTAGATACAATGGGCACCACCCCACCTTAATGAGCTCTACCACCCAAACCAAAATTTTTTTGCTGTTGAAAAAATCATATTTTAGTGTGAAAATTTAGTTCAAGCGCAAAATTATGATTGAAACGCACTAAAGTTCCGTTTAATTATCCTAATTTTAAGTTGACTATCGGCATTTACGTATGACCACAATCTGCCGCGAAATGACGTATATTGGCTCAAAATTAAGATAATCAGATGGAATTTTAGTGCGTTTCAATCATAATATTGCGCTCAAACTTTTCCATGCTAAAATATGATTTTATTAACAGCAAACAAATTTCGGTTTGGGTACTAGAGCTCATTAAGGAGAGATGAAGGGTGTTCATTGTATCCGCCCTGACAATGAACATGTTGGAGGCCTCTCTTTGCTGAATAATAGAGGGTGTCCAGCGAGCGGTCTCGTCATCGCGTCCCAGACTGATGCGTTGTTATATTCGGATTTTAATGCCGAATAAAAAGTCTGAGGTTTTGTGAAATGGCCTAAAGAAATTTTTTTACCATAGCAGGACTGGATGGGTGGCCTGGTGGAGTGTCTTTGAAAAAGTCAACATGTCCGAGGGGTGAAACATGACAGACATTTGAACCTAATAAGTAGAGGAGAGAGAGCGAAAAAGAAAAAAAACATTTAATGGGCAAGTGATTGCCCAAATTTCTCGAATTGAGTTCACAAACACATCATTTTCAGAGAAAGTTCTGTAATTTTTTAAAAAATTAACACTGGTTCTCTAAAATTCCATCAAGCTGCAGTCAGTTAAGAATGTTTTAAGCAACTGTGGTTACTTGCACACCTGATCCATCAAAATATAGAGCTAATTGAATGGAGGTTTTTTGCCATGATTTTTTACGTATGAGTGCTTACCGGTAAGTGTGCAGTAGGGTGCGGCTTATTTTCGTCATGTCGGAAAATCGACGAGGTCCGGGTGGCAATCGATGATACCTATGAAAATAATAGGCTGTATAAAATTTGAGCCAATTTGAAGCTTTTTTAGCTGATGCTCAAAGGGATCAAAACTAAGGGGCAAAATTGCATTGGTTTAAATGGACGGAAAAACGCCTGATCCGCGCAAATGCGTTTTTTGGATCTAAAATGCGCTTGAATGAAGAAAACCTGACCAACTCTTAGAGAGGCATCTAGGGGCCCATTTGAAACGAGAAAATTACACTTTTGACCCATGAGTGGGGACAGGGGGGTCACGGCGTAGCCGGTTTTGAGGCGCCGCGCCCGGAGCTAAGAATTCGCTTCTGAACGAACTCAAAATAAATGTTCCAAAGTTGAAGAGGCAAATTTATCTCACAACTTGATGAGAAATAATGTATAATAGTTGTTTTAGCCCTTGAGAACTATACTTGGCCCTTTACAATGATACCTCACATACTATTTCTTAAGCCTGGAACGAAATTGGTGTTTATATTTTATTTTGCACTCGAGTGATCCCCCTACCCTCACCCATGGGTCAAAAGTGTAATTTTCTCGTTTCAAATGAGCCCCTAGATGCCTCTCTAAGAGTTGGTCAGGTTTTCTTTATTCAAGCGCATTTTAGATCCAAAAAACGCATTTGCACAGATCAGGCGTTTTTCCGCCCTTTTAAACCAATGTAATTTTGCCCCTTAGTTTTGATCCTTTTGAGCATCAGCTAAAAAAGCTTCAAATTGGCTCAAATTTTATACAGTCTATTATTTTCATAGGTATCATCGATTGTCACCCGGACCTCGTCGATTTTCCGACATGACGAAAATAAGCCGCACCCTAGTGTGCAGCCTATGCTGCAAAGTTGAAGGTAAACCTCCGGTGAACAATACCTACGAACCTACAAATAATTTTGGTTTTTCGCTCTCACATCGTCCATTGATTAAATATAAAAGTGGAGTGGGATAAATTTTGTAACGTTCTTCAAGGATGTGCCTATCTGCATAGATTTGTTGCCCATTCGAGTAAATTGAAAGCAAATTTCTGGTAGATTATGTTTTCGGAATGGTTCATTAATGGACTGCATTCACCGAAGACATTGTAATTACATTGTGCAATCAGATGAATGTTTTAATCAAAAGCCAATCAATATTCTGGCTTAAACTTGTGTGAGATATTCGTTATCCTAAAGTTCCAAAGCATTACTTTGCTTAGATGGCTAGTTTTCCATTAAATAGATATCATAGAGAGGAAATCAGTTGATGTAAAAAGGAATGAGACTGATTCTGGTCTATACAGCATATTGGTTCAATTGAGGCATCGAAAGACTGAGAGCTGATGAAGATTCATTTAACCGGAATAATATAAATTTACCATCTACCTCATTCGAAACGGATTTTGGTCGGGGAAAAGAAGTAGGAGGTCTGACATTGCGAATCGGTTGCACCAACTAAGTTTAAGGCTCCTAAAAACCCCAAAAATTGCTTGGATTTTAACCGGCAACATATACACTTGTGTTTGGGCTCAATTTACTCGTCATATCATGCTGGAAGAGATTCAGTTGGTCTGGCGGCTGAAATCGGTTGCAAAATGGCCGCCAGACCGAATTTTCTCAAAAAATTCTTGATTAATTGTATACATGTCTCCTTATATAAAATAAAAGTCAGTTTTGACCGTTTTCACGAAATGGGGGTCATACCGTTTGTCCAGTCTTCCCTAAAATCTGTATACCGATCCTTTCCAGTCCAGTGAGTGACACTGGCTACTTTAATTTTTTCCCTGTCGTGATTTCGGGATTTAATTGTCAAAAAATGGTAAAATTGGGGAGACAAACGGGCCCACGGTTGTTAGGCATGTGTTGCTAGGCACTATTGTGTTCAGAGATGGCAAGTGAAATATCAAAAGGCTCCAATAAATTTCATAAAATTTGAAATTTTGTAATTTTTATTTTTCGGAATTATTAATTGAACCCTTTGAAATTCGGAAGCGTTTCAACTGGTCTTTCTGTTGATGCGGCAGTACTTTGCCACCCTATACAAGAAGCTGAAGGGGGACACAAGAAGTTTACCCCCTTTCTGAGGCTTTTCTTCAGAAAGCAACCTATACGGGTGGATTTCAGCTAATGGGAGAAAATATGGGAAAGACGTGTAACTGGTTGCTCAAAACTTTCAATTATAATATTTTCTCTCGATGTTTGGTTTTTTGCGTAGAAGCAGGTCACACCAACCACGAAAAAATTCCTTGGGAGATTTGAATAACTCTGAACCTTTTTTTCAACGTGCTGAACAGTGAAAATGTCAGTTTTGTGACGTGTAACTTGGAGGTAACCAATGTATCAAGTCGTTATGTAAATAAACCAGGACCTTTTGCGAGCTTTGTCTAATTTTTTTTTAAGTTTTGAATGTATATTGTTTGATATAATATGCATTGAAACACCAGAAAACTACATTATTCAATTTAATTTGAGACTTGAAGCGTGTAACTTAATATTATGTCAGTTTGGTGACGCTATGCGTTTTAGTTTGTGGCCACTCAAGATATTGCGCTTGTGTGCGGATTAAGGCATGACTGAGTGCGGAAAAGGAGGAGGAACAGACGTGCACTTGATAAGTCCACATATTTCTTCTAATTTCAGCATAATTTCAGTTTTTTCCATGGTTTTTGGAGTGTCTCACTTATTCAATGTCAATTTGGTGACGCTGTTTTCCATCAAAACTTTTGGTGGAATACGCAAGGAATATTTGAGCAAATATTTTTTTCTTACATCTACAGGTGGCCTCTCGACCTAACCTCAATGATTAGTTTGATTTTGTTACTGTAAATTGGCAGGAAAAATTAATAACAGCAAAATGTCAGTTTGGTGACGTCATCAAACCTGACATATCCAAACCAAACTGACATGTTAGGCTTGGTAAAGAGAAATAATCGTAAAGATATTGCGATGCACGTAATTGAATCCTTTAATATGGAGCTCTAAGATAACAGAAAAGTAGTTCATAGCTTGATATGGCCAAATCACTTTTTAACTTTTTTTCAGAACCACTTTCTCCCATTAGCTGAAATCCACCCATACCTATCTAACCTCTAAATGAAACGAATACTTTTGCAAGGTGTGAATGTTTTAGGCTTGGAGTGAAAAATTTCAATTTTTAAAATCATTATTTCTAGGCGTTTTTTGCCTCCTGAATGCATTCCCAAAAGTTTCAAACAATTTCGAGAAATTTCATGAAATTTCATGAAATTTTCCATCTCTGATTGTGTTCCATGGTCAAAAAGGGTCAAAATGATAATCTGGATTATGAATGTTAAAAAATGATAATAATGATTGAAAGTTTCTTGTTGAAAATTGATGACGAATCAAGTTGTAGAAAAATAGATTTAAAAAAATCTGCCTATTCCTCGCACGCAGTACCCTTAAATGTAATTTGTCAACTTAAAATCAATACCAGCAGCGAGAATGGCTCAGTGTAAAAGAGGCATCAGTTTTAGCTAGCCAAAGAAGAGCTTTTCATTAAAATCAAATCGAACTAGTGCGGAAAATCACTCGGAAACGTACCAAAGGGTTTTTTTCCTAAAAACAATTGTAAAAGTTGCGGCCTTCAGATTCGTTATAATATTATATATATTTTTGTACTTCATGCGTTTTTTGCAGATTCCACCATACTATTCAAGTACAATAAAAAACCGCCAGAACCCTCTTTTTTTCGTTCAAACTCACATTCAATAGTACTTTATTATTATATTCTCAGTGTATTTAATAGTAGATAAACGCAGATTCAGATTCAACAACCAGCGGTAAATAATAATCCACATCTTTAAAGGCATATTTCCTACTGAAATTTGTTTCATTCTGGAAAGGTCATTTTCGTCGCCATTCCTAACGAATTTAGGCCTTACCTGATGCTGAGGATGATTTCTATCCGCAGATTTGGATTCTACGGCCAGAAAATTAAAATGATTGACACCTTATAAGGCTTATTTCCGCGGATTTTTTTTAATATTCCAAAAGGGTCATTTTGGTCGCCATTTTGAATTTAGGCTTTACCCTGATGTTGAGGATGACTCCTATAACTGCAGATTCGGATTCTACAACCAGATATGTATTGATTGACACCATACGTAAATTTTTCAAAATTTTTAGAAATATCCGACTTTTTGGGAGGAAAGAAATTCTTTCTCAAAATAAAGGGGTTCAGAGGTTCAAACTTGAAGAATTCCTACGAAAAATTATGAGTAGAACATTTTTGGTTCTTTAACAAATTTGCGTATCTGAAAATTTTCTAGTAAATCGTGGATTTTTGAAAGCACTTCCAGACTCTTCGATTTTGGACATGGCGGCTTCTTTAATATGTTACCCCGAGTTACGGACATTTTGATTGCTGGAAGAAGGTGTCCTTGGGGGAACTGAAAGATACCCAGAGAGTTGCAGGGTGGCTTGCTGAAGCAACTTCGTGGGTCCTATTTATTTATGTAAATCTTGATGCTGGTAAAAAATTATTTAAATACCCCCTTTTTTCGATCTGCTGGAATTATTGTGTGTATACACAAATCCACGTCACCATTTTTTTCTGAAAAGGTCGGTACCAACATACCACAACAACATATTTGTTTTTGCAATAGTACCAGTCAGACTATAATATTACAGGACACAGAGATGTAATGTAAATTTTACATGATTTATCATATGGGGATACAAGGCTATTTAATTTAAAAATCCTCGATGTATATGTCAAGTTGGCTCACTGATGTCTTATTCTTAAAAACACTGCAAAATGGAGAGAAGCTGAAATGTTTCAAGTTCATTGGGCAACCTTCAAAATTTTTCAATCCCAATGAAATTGTACAAGGTTTACATTAATAGCATTTAAATCAATTTGAAGAATGTAATGATGAATAATATTAGTTAAGTAGTTTTGACCTGGGATTGGAGAGATGTTTCGGAAGATTGTCCTAAAATAATCAAATATTATAACTTAATCTTTTCCGTTTCTTTCTTCTTCTTAAAGTGTTCATAATTGATTGAAATTTTACAAACATTTCACTGAAGTAGTAAAAATTGATTCACAGGGTCTAATTAATTACCTATCATGACTGTTTTATCTTGAATGCAGAGAAATTTCAAAATAGTCACTAAAAATTAGTAAACATTGTAAGGATGGCGCACACCCTCTAATATCTCTTATAATGAACGGAATTTTTTAAAGGATTTCTTCAAACTATTCTGAACCAGTCTATCGAGTGCAATCATTAGATTTCAAAAAAAGCTCATTAAAGATCATTTTTGGACCACTTTTATCTTTCTTAAAGAATGTCCCCAGAAGACAGATTGGCCTTCTACGTTTACGGCATAATTTCTCTACCTCTCTCCTTTCACTCTAATGAAAAGTTTTTTGTTTCTAGTTGATAACCGATCAAAAAGAAGAAGGGAAAAAAGGCATAATCCACGGCAAGATTTCACTGCCTTTGTTCAACGCAATGAAAATCAACGCTTCTTTATATCACCGCAGCTTAACCTTGCTACCTTCCAGTTCCTTAGTTCAAGTTAGTGTATCTATTTTCGTATTTTATCTTTACTTGAGTATATTGTAAAATATGACAAATTAGCTTTATGTATGAAAGAGGTCCAGGAAGTGTACTAAATGATTCTCCACATCTTAAGCAACTACAAGTGAAGACAATCGGTAAGAAATATATTAAGTCGCTTTCTTCAGCTTTTTAACGAGTCATAGAGCATAAAATTTGGTTCAATTAAATCGATCCAGGAAAATTGAAATTTTCTAATCTCATCTGCCCTCCAAAAGGGTCCAAAATTTCATGGTGCATCATGAACTTACCCGAGGCTGCATCCATAACTCATTGATGGTAGGTGACTTATCGACAATTGAACCTTCGGAGATGGATTTGGGACCACATCTTATCCTTAAAATTTTGCAAGATTGATTGTGCCTACTTTTCAAACTATGTGAATCTACCCCGCCGTTAACTGGATTTTTGGCGTTTTTCTAATTTTTACAGCCAAATCGATGGTTTTCTTTTACATCTTCCCCCTTCATAAAGAAAATCTATCAGTGATACATCATTTAGAGAAACACTCATGAAGTCATGAGGACAATACAAAAAAGATCAGGATACTAAGGTATATCATCAAACATGATTTTTCATTGAAATCGCGCCACAAATGGCATCAGATGCTGGCATCTAACGCATTATTTATTTTGAAACAGCTCCATGCACTGATAACTGCCAGGTGAAAATCTTACTTACAGTGATAAATTATCCAGTTTGGAGATCTCTGAAATGTGTTGACAACGTCTATGGAGCGAGTTAGCCCTTAGATGACTAACCGGGTCTCTCAGGCCCGGCAGCTTTTTATTTTTCGCGCCACGGCGGCTGTAATTGACTGTAATGAGGTTGAGCTTCTTTTTATCGGGCTGCATTATGTTTGATGAAATTACCTTTCTCCCGATCACTTTTTATCCGGTTTTCAGATGATAGCTATTTCGATGTTAATCATCATCATCAGGTCACTTCGACTTCGATTTGGTAAACACTAACAGTCACATCTTATATCACACGTTCTTATAAGAACGCGTACGCGGCGACGGGTGCACCCACGAGTATTTTAAAAGTGTTTTTTAGTAAATTTTAATAATATAAGATGTGACTGTCAGTGTTTACCAAATCGAAGTCGAAGTGACCTGATGATGATGATTAACATCGAAATAGCTATCGTCTAAAAACCGGATAAAAAGTAATGGGGAGAAAGGTAATTTCAACAAACACTTTTATATATTTTTTGAGATTTTGAGGAAGTTACATTGAAGAAACATTATTACCCCTATAAGCATACTTGAATTTGAGAGGGAGGGGGCAACCTTGCCCACCCCTCCCCCCTCCCCCTCCTTCCGGTAGCCAAAAAAAGTAGTACTCTCTGATGTGTTTCTTTCAAAGTTTTGCACTTAGAAGGTTTATTTTTTCATTTCGTGAAAAGAAAAGTCTAAAATGTATTATTGTACTATTACTACTAATAAGTCGCTCTCATGGCGCTTCTGTGCGCTCTGTGACACTCAACCGCCACTGACAGCTATCTTGCCAGAGCACCTTTGCTGTATTAGTTGTAGCTGAGGAGTGGTCATGGAGGTGATATACTGTCTAAGAACTGTAAAAGCACCATGCATTATTTTCTTACAACTAAAAGGTAAGGCCTTAACATATACACCGTATCACAAGAATCACCTAAAATTAAAATAATAATAAGTAAATAATAAGTCTGATTTTCTTGACCTTCAGTAATTTTTTTTATGTTTTGTTTTTCCTAAAATCTTTCCTACTTACGTATATTGTCCGTCGTCTTACCACTGGAATTATTATTCATTATCTACTTTTACTTTTTAACAATCTAAGAGTTTTTACGACTTAAATTTAGGAGTTTCTTGTGATATGGTGAATATGTAAAGGAGTTTTCTTTTAGTTGTAAGAAAATAACGCATGGTGCTTTTACAGTTCTTAGGCAGTATATTTCCTCCATGACGACTTCTCGGCTACAACTATTACAGCAAAACCTCAGCAAAACCATTAGAAACTTCACAAGAAATTTTGTCCTGCGCGTATCTCATAATTCACTGTGAGTAAATTTGCTCTCACTTGTCGAAAAGTTTGAAATAATTTAGAAGTATTCCATAAATAACAACAATACATAACGCCTATGAACGCCAACGTAAAGGACGCCCTGTCAAATCATGGATTGAGGGGAAATGGCTTGAAATGAGGAGATGCGCCCTGCCGAAGGTGCTCTGGCAAGATCGCTGTCAGTGGCGGTTGGGTGTCGCAGAGCGCACAGAAGCGCCATGAGAGCGGTACAAACCGGTAAAACCATATTTTTCGGATGCTTCATTGAGGTGACCTCCAATTTCCGCCAAAATCGGATTTAGGGGTTTTAAGGAACCACGGTACACACTAAAGCAGCCAATGAAATATTTCAACACAAATTCATGTTTTAAGGGTTTTTAAGGTTTCCAATAGCATTTCTCGCTCTTTTGATACTATAGGGTGGAAGGAGGGGGAGGGGGAGGCCGATCAAAATCAGATGGTCAAAAATTTGTTATGGTCAACAATTTTCTTGAGCCCAGTAAAGAATGATAATCTTTTTACAACCGTTCACACATTCAGGCTAAATGGGACTGGTTTTAAACCAATTTGGCAATGAATATGAAAATTCTATCATCACACAGCACCTAAGTTTAGAGTAAGTTGACCGTCGCTGACACCAATATAACTGATGAAATGTCAACTTCACTGTTCAATTGTAACTTATGCAATCTTGTGTGCTCGAGGATGATATCTTGGAGGTGGATGAGGAATCTATATCGAATTCTGCTAATTCGATCAAACATTCATGTTGGTATGAAAATAACGCAATATCAAGAACCGACTCATACGCAGCTCAGGATACCGTCACTTACCGAAAATAACACATTATTTATACAATGACAATTTCTTTTAAAAGGGGTGTAACACTAAATTAGGCATAGCTGTATTTTAAGAAGTCAATATTAAGTTATCAGAGTGACTTCAATCATACGATATTGCATTACTTTAAGTCCAACAGTGAAATTGAAAGATCATCAGTTACATCGGTGTCAGCGATGGTCAACTTACTCTAAACTTAGGTGCCGTGTGATGATAGAATTTTCATATTCATTGCCAAATTGGTTTAAAACCAGTCCCATTTAGCCTGAATGTGTGAACGGTTGTAAAAAGATTATCATTCTTTACTGGGCTCAAGAAAATTGTTGACCATAACAAATTTTTGACCATCTGATTTTGATCGGCCTCCCCCTCCCCCTCCTTCCACCCTATAGTATCAAAAGAGCGAGAAATGCTATTGGAAACCTTAAAAACCCTTAAAACATGAATTTGTGTTGAAATATTTCATTGGCTGCTTTAATGTGTACCGTGGTTCCTTAAAATCCCTATATCCGATTTTGGCGGAAATTGGAGGTCACCTCAATGAAGCATCCGAAAAATATGGTTCTACTGGTTTGTACCACTCGTGCTTTGGTATATGGTATCTCTAGGATATAGGTATGCTTTCTAAAAATACCAAAGAGAACCGAGCAACGAACCGCAATGACACTTTCCCAGTCTACAATATTCTGAAAAATTCATTTTTAAGCTTATTTTTCGGGCAACTTTGATTTCATGCCCTGCTGCTAAAAATCAATATTTTTGGGATCTGCAAAAGCGAAAATACTTGTTATACAATGAAGTTTACCAGTAAGATGCATATAATGGTGTGAGGTTCACGAGTGCAGTGTGAAATAAGTGAGTATGCAACGCGCGCCTCAGGTTGTAGAAATCTGGGTTCATCACATTCCACATACTGCATATCCATCTATGTGGAAACCGCAGATATAATGAATATTTTAGATATTCCCATGTAATTTCGATATCAGTAGGTATCTGAGCATCGATTAAGATGCCTCTGATGAGGAAAAAAAATGTCGAAAAATTGAATTTCTCGCCGCTGCGGACACGATCTGGTCCATAGTGCGATGGCTTGAATTGACGTGCAAGGTTTTTGGGACCAAAGCAAATTCGTCGTGAAAGAGAAAATCAAAGAATGCAAGGAGTCAAGACGTAATTATCACAACCGAAAAATAGGATCGAACAATTTAGAGTTTCCACCGCTGCCTGAGAACCGAGTGAAAGGAAAATAGAGGATGATGAGTTGCACCGATGGTTTTGGCAGTTCGAAATTCCGGTCTTGGTATAGTCTATGGTATAGTCTTGTGCTAATTTTATGCTCTCTCATGTATGGAAAAAAAGTTTTGATTCTAATGGGGAGTAGATTGTCACTCCACAGTAGGAGGGCTTTGAAAAATACTATGGTTGTGAGTCATTTGTTTAGTCATTGTTGACAACATCAAAAAATTATTGTAAAAGGTATCTCAGTAACATGAAAAGTTCCTAAATTCAGTCATTAATTATTAATTTTTAAATGTATAGCTCTGCTCGAAAATAAATCGTTCCAATCAGGGTTGAACCAAATCAGCTTTTAATTCCTTTTTTTCCATTGCTACTCATTTTCCAATATGTGATTTCAGGTGTAGACCCTTTCAAACCAGACATCATATCTGAAACGATTTTAATGAGAATGTTAAAGCAAGATGTCTTCTTCAAAATCACAATTAATACAAAAGATATAACAAAAGATGATCTGTCAACGTATATCTATCAGCAGGTAATTATTGAATTCTAAAATAACGATTGCATTTTGGAATAAGAATTAGAATAAAGTCCAACCGCCCCAGCTGTTGGCCATAGCTCGTCATGCTTATGTTTCAAAGCGAACGGTTGGAGTATTGCTGAAACACACAGGGGACCAAATCTAGGATAAGGGAAATTGGATGGGAGTAGAGGACCGCTAATGCTGTTTCCATCTGCATGGGAGATTCAATAGGGAAAGTGTATCAATCCTGATCTGTTGTCAGAAAGGAATAGAAGCTGCGTCGCTCTCAGCGTTAACCCTTATCATGTCTTGTGTTTGTTACCTGAACGACTGTTTGGACAGCTTTGGTTTCTTTATCTCAGATAAACCCACCTCAGGCCCAATTTTACACCTGGCTCCACCCATGCACCCCGTGCTGTACAGGGTAATCCAAAAGTCCCTTCCACCCTCTCTAACTTTTTACCTAATTGAGGTAAAGATTTGAAACTCGGGGGATGTTCCTAGGTCAAAGGGAGCTACTTTTTGCCCCCCTAAAATTTTCAGGGGGCCCCCTGGGGGGGGGGGGCAACGGACCCCATCTTTTAATTTTCAAATGGGAAGACCCCCTTTGTGATAGCTCGTTTGAAAGAGCATAAGAGAAGAAAACTTTTCGCGCAAACCCGAAGTCGATATCTCAAACCGTTTCAAAATGGCGGCCGGTTAAAGTTCAAAATGGCCGAAAATTCACACCGGTTATTTGTCGATGGATTTACGCTAAAATCGGTATCTAGGGGTATTTTGACATGAGAAAAACGAATTTGACCTTAGATTTTTTTTTTAAAAAAACGAAATTTGTAAAATGGCCGCTGGTTAAAGTTCAAAATGGCCAAAAATTGCCACCTCGGTTTTTGGCTGATTGATTTGCCTAAAATTTGGAAATTGAGGGTATTTTGGCATAAGAGTAACACATTTGAACTCAGATTTCTAAAAAAAAAAAAATTTTTGGTCATTTTGAACTTTAACCAGCGGCCATTTTAGAAATTTCGTTTTTTTTTTAAATCTAAGGTCAAATTATTTTTTCTCGTGTCAAAATACCTCTAGTTACCGATTTTAGCGCAAATCCATCGACAAATAACCGGTGTGAATTTTCGGCCATTTTGAACTTTAACCGGCCGCCATTTTGAAACGGTTTGAGATATCGACTTCGAGTTTGCGCGAAAAGTTTTCTTTTTTTATGCTCTTTCAAACGAGCTATCAAAAAAGGGGTCTTCCCATTTGAAAATTAATAGATGGGGTCTGTTGCCCCCTCTCCCCAAGGGGGCCCCTTGAAACTTTTACTGGGGCAAAAAAATAGCTCCCTTTGACCTGGGAACAACTCCCAAGTTTCAAATCTTTACCTCAATTATATACAAAGTTAGAGGGAGTAGAAGGGACTTTTGGATCACCCTGAATACAATTGGTAACATGCTTGATACATTCTTTGGGATACTATGCATTCATGTCTCATTGTCTTAACATGACTAAACATTCTTGGTATACTACGCAAGCAACCTTTACGCATTTCCTGTAGAATGCTGCTCCCTCCTGGGATCCTGATGCTGAAGCAAAACATCCAAAATTCTCTTAAAAGCAATTACACTCTTTAACAATGATTGTTATCATCGCAGGAGAAATACACTTGTCACATTACAACCTAGTTGAGCATTGAAGTACCTTGCAACAATAATCTTGTTTTTGGGTTTGACTCCTAACAACTTGGTTTGCAGTTCCCTGTAGAATGCTGCTCCCTCCTGGGATCCTGATGCTGGAGCATAACATCCAAAAATCTCATAAAAGCAATTACAGTTTTCATCCTCCAATCTTCTCCTGTTATCATCTCAGGAGAAAAACTCTTGACACTTGTCACATTAAGTCTGTTTCGCACAACTACACTTACTCCTCAGCATGACCGCTGTTCTGCTGGTCTACCGCTGTTGCACCAGGTATACTTTTCGTTGTGGAAGGTCGAATTGATTTGGTGGGTTACTTGTAGCACTGCAACAGTGCAACATCTGTCTGGAACCTGTCGAGCGTCTTTTCTATCCTTTCTTGTTGCGATTTGTCATTATAGGAACTGACATTCCATGTCGATATACATATTTCTGTATTTTCTGGTGTGTTTGAGGTTTGGAGTTATACTTTATACTCTGATATCATACTTTGACTGGGGTTCCGTTGGTGGAGGGACAGAAGAGAGTGCTTCAATGGTTATGATAACTGAGTTATCTTTGGATATCTTTCTGCCACTGCTTTGTAGAGACATGATATGATGTTGCTTTCTCTTCCTCCTTAGTTGTATGAAAGGTGGTTCGTTGTGTTTGTCTGGAATTCCTTGGATTACATCGAGTGATCTGAGTCTAGTGTTACTGACTGTTAGAAACCACTCAGTGATCCTGTCATAGTGGTTTAAACTTCCATCTGTTCCACGAAGATAACAGATTCTTAATGTTGGGTCTCCAGATCCTATTTTGTAGTCAGACTCTCTTTCATTAAATATATGAACTTGGCACAAAAGCAATTGGCAAATGGCCTGAATAGTTTCCGATCCACCATAGCAATTAGCGACATGGCCTAGCCTTTGAATGGAAATGCGAGCTCTGATTCCTTGGCCTCTATGCACATGCATTGCCATGAATTCACTATCCTGACTGGCTGTCTCAAGCACGTTATATAAAACGCCTGGCTGTCTTTCATTCTTGATCAGATTCTCACAAATGATCAATCTTAGACGAGTCGCGCCTCCTTCAGTTACTCTTTCTGGACAAACCGTCTCCATTTGATGTAGTAGTGCTCTGAAAAGGCAACTTCCATCTCCAGAAATTTTTTCGACTTGCACACTTCCCGCGGTCACTGATACTAGTTCTTTCATTATTGCTGACGCTTTTCCGCTCAACACATGCACTTTCCTTGCAGTTCCTGTTTAGTGGAAAGGCAGTAAACCTTACTTTAACTCATTCTACACTTCATAAGCTTCTAAGCTTTCACACGCTACCTCTGTACAAACAACCTACTGACAGAAGAAAACGCATCTATTAGTCACTACAAGCTTGGCAAAGGAGGGAAAATAAGTAAAAGCGAAAGCAAAAGCAAAAAAAAAAAAAACCACAGGAGGGAGGGAGGTGTGGCCTAGACCGCGAGCTTTGCACTAACCCATATAAGAAACCAACATAAAGCAAAACCAGCAACCAGCAATATAGAAGAGAAAAAAAGAAGAAAAAGAAGAAAAAAAAGAGATAGATAGATAAATATGTAAATAGATAACAATTTAATAGCTTTGACATCGATAAATACAGACGTATCATACATATACTTGATCGTTCTAATCCGGGTTCCGATCACATTTATTTCTTTGACGTCGCCTGACACTAGAAAGTTATTCAGGGCGCCCGACTGTACTTTATCCTGTCCTCTATAAATTTAAGGACCATACAAAATAAACAACTTAAAATGAGACTAAGGTCACAAATAAATAAAACATAAAAAACCGGGACGTATCGCAGCTATTACAAGCGCATTTTCGACCAGAAATAAAATTGAAAAATTAAAAAATAACTCGAATGCATTAGGTGTCACAATAACAACGGTGAGGCTTAGTAAATTTGAATTACTTAACAATTTTCCTTTTTTATTTCCGGTGGGCCGATTAAGTCGATTTTCATCTAAGGGCTATTATTTCGCAAAATTGTGTTGTATGAAAACTCAAGGTCCAACCCCATCAATACTCCTGAAAGAACATCTCAAACTTTTTCCTTTTTCTGATAGCATAATGCAATAAAGCGATTAAATTTATTGGCTCAAGGGCTGTTTTCTTCTTTGGAGGTTTTTTTTTGGGGGGGGGGAGGATGAGCATAATGCAATAAAGCGATTAAATTTATCGGTTCAGGAGCTGTTTTCTTCTTTGGAGGTTTTTTTTTTGGGGGGGGGGNGAGGATGAGAAAGGGCAGATAACATTCTATTCCCAATTCTTTCTTTTTCTGTTTCCATTTATATTTATATTTCTAATGCTAGGAGGACCAAGCCCATTCCAACCCCTCAAGAGCTACATCCATCATGGCTTTTCACTTGCCACTTAAAGCGAATATATAGGAAGCAAATTAAATGATAAAAAATGAAAATATAAAAATTAAAAAAACTGAGAAGAAAAAAGACACGGCCTCAAAAGACATGCCGTCCGTTCAGGCTCAGACACCGAAAGTTCCTGGTGCTGGAGCAGTAACGTTGACTGCTCTGGGTTCGGTGGATGGAGCAATGAGTGTGGCACCGGAAACTTTTGGCTTTTGAGCTGGGAACAGATGGTATGTCCGCATTGCGTGAGTGTGGCTTTCACAGTCGGAGTTTTTTTTCTCAGTGTGTAAAACGTCTGTAAATGTCTGTGCATAAAATGTGTGCGTCGGACCATTTTTAGCTGGTGCATATTGGGGTTCCCCACACAAAACTATTACGTGAGCAGAACTATGTCATTTCAATTAAACGCCTTGAGCAAAGTCTTAGCAGTTTAGGCGAGGTCTATTTACTACCGCATCGCATATTTAGACATTTTGGACCCGACTATTGACGATTTTTGAAGTTTTGACGATTTTTTGGAGAATGGAATATTTATACCAGATTCTCGAAAATTTAAGCTAATAGACATCCAATAGACGTCCTTTGGTAAAAATTGAACATGGAGGGTGGGCCTGCAAGATATGCAAGTATTTTTTAAAGAATCCTATTGATCAATATTGCCATTGAATCGCTAATTGCGACGGTAGTGGAAAAAGTTCATTCCTATATTTCATATCTCTTGAACTAAAATGATATAGACTAAAACTTATGAAGCGTACATTAGCTTTACTTTAAGCCCAAAATGTTGAAACTCGGATGCAAGGCTTGCCAAAAATCTCAATTTAGTACAGAGACCGCAAGTCTCGTCGCGGCCTATTCACCTTACAGCATACTGTAGCAGGTCGCACCAAAGTTCCTTAACTTTTCCTCAAAAGCTTAGAGTGATGATA